TTTTTTTTTTTTTTCTCAATTTTTTTTGCTGCCCATGATGGGGGAAAGTACGAGGGACGAGGCGTTACTGGGCCAGCTCAGCGAGTCGGTCAGGGAGATCTATGAGTTGCCCGAGTGCAGAACGGTTTCCAGGAAGATGTACTGTAATCTGGTGAGAAGGGTGAAGCTTTTGAGCCCTCTGTTTGAGGAGCTTAAGGACGTTGGAGAAGATGGGGAGCTTGGGGACGACGTCGTTAGGGGGCTCGAGTCGCTCAGAATCGCTCTTGACTCGGCCCTTGAGCTGTTGAAATCAGTCCATAAATGGAGTAAGATTTTTCAGGTATATATATACATAAAGTATGTGTAGTTGTTCATCATAAGTATATGTAACAATTTTGTTGAATTGTGACAATTTTATTGAAATATTTTAATTGAGCTGTTGAATTGTGACAATTTTGTTGTCACAAGTATATGTAGTTGTTCATCATAAGTAATCATTGATTAGATAGAATGAGTTGGATATTTGTTCGTTCTACTCTCGCTTTGTGTGTTCTTGTTTTCGACTTTTTGGCAGCTCATGATTTAGCTGAATATTCTTTTCATTTTAGTTGAATATAGATTTGAAATATAAAAGTAGACTAGAACAACTAAAGGGTTATATTTTAAGCATGGAATTGAGCTGAATTGTGACAATTTCTTGTCACAAGAACATGCAGTTTATGTTTATCATGGATAATCAATCATTGATGATATAGAATGGGTTGTTTCCTTGTGAACAAATGTTGTTTTTATATAGTTTTTGGTTTTTTGTGGGTTTGGGCTTGTGAAGATTGAAGTGTCGTGCTGCGCACCGAGTTTGTAATCTTACTTAAGTAATTTAGTATGTATGAGGCATCACAGAAAGTTACCGTCTCGTTCTATGGGCATTTGAATATCTTCATATCAAGAGATATTCAGAATAAACTACGCTGAAATAATGTTTTTTGTGATACCTGCGATTGAGGAAATGCTTTCTGTCGTTATGAAGCTTGCTGTTGATTGTGATTTTGAATTTTCTGATTAATGTTTTTGGGCTTCTGCGTACACTCCTCATCGCCCGGTTGAGGAAATGCTTTCTGTCATTATGAAGCTTGCTGTTGATTGTATTTTGAATTTTCTGATTAATGTTTTTGGGCTTCTGCGTACACTCCTTATCGCCCTATGCATATTAGAAAAGTCATTCATTCATCTAATGTGTGCTCCGTTGCACTACATATAGATAAAAGGTGTTGATATTTTTAAGAAATGAAGCTGTGAAATTCATGCCTAGACCATAATGGAAGTTGATATATGATGCTTTCGCCTAAATGATCTTTTTTCGTTAATTTCAGCACTGTTTAGAAAAATCTAAATATTTGAATGATTGAAGCAAATATAAGGCGTCCTTTTCTATCTTTGCCGTAAATGTAGATAAATCAGCATGCCCAGTTTGTTTCCTTTACTGTTGTACTTTCTTACAGGCTCTCCAAGTCGAAAAAATTGCGGCGAAATTTGAAGACGTAACACAACTGATTGAAGCTTCACTTTGTCAGATTCCCTATAACAAACTTGATATACCCGATGAAGTTCGAGAACAGGTACAATTTTTTTCTTCTTTAGTAAACTTTAAGCACTTACATCCTTTCTCCTTTATAATAATCTCCTCGTCTTCTTTCTTTCTTTTTTTCCCCTTCCATTGTACAGATTGAACTTCTCCACCACCAATTCAAACGAGCAATAGCTCAAACGGAGTCGCCTGATTTGCAACTCGTGGTGGACTTAGCCGCCGCACAAATGGAGGATGATCCCGAGCCGTCGGTTTTCAGGCGACTTTCCGAAAAATTGTTCCTTAGGACCACAGCCGATATAAAGAGGGAGCTGCTCGCTATTCACGAGATGGTCATATTGTGCGGTGGTGTGCCTGAGGGAGTCTCGGAGGAGTACATTGAGACAATGTCGTACCTTTTGAGGAAGATCAAGGACTGTGTAATGATGGATGGTCCCGAAAATGATGCTACTGAATTCGACAAGAACTCGATCAAGCATAGGTCGCCCATCATTCCCGATGATTTTCGCTGCCCGATATCTCTCGAGTTGATGAAAGACCCAGTGATCGTGTCGACTGGACAGGTTGGAATCCTATTCTTTACTTTCTTGTTTCTTCTATGATTCTTAGGATTTAATTACAAGGATAGTTAGAAAAACTACTCCCAATGATTGGAGTAATAAGTAATCACAAGAAAGAATATATGATTATATAAAAGGAAAAAGAAAGAACTATACGAACTATCGGGTTCATTTTAACAGTTTACCATATGAAGTGAACTTGATTTAGGGTGATTTTGGTACACGATCGAAAAAAAAAAAAAAAAGAGAGAATAATGAGGAAAAATTATAGGTTTGAAACTCAAATTCCCATCGATGTCCCAAAATTTCCCAAATTTAGGCAAAAATAGTTTTAGACCTATAATCATAGAACCAAAGAAATATGAGGAAGAATTGTAGCTTTGGACTAAAATTCTCATTGACGTATAAACTTAATCTTGCACCACCCGATTCCTAAGGGGGTGATTGGGTATAAGTTATTTTGGTATTGATTGTATTTGTTGGTTAACCAGTGTTAATTTTGAAAATTTTGATTGAGTTAGGTTTGAGTGAGATTTTGAGTTTGTCTTAAAATAATATTTAAAATATAATGAATAAATTTGATTTTTTGATGTAAAAGTAGGAGAGAGATGATTGTAAGTGATAGATAATTAAAATTATGTGAAATATTGATATGCTGTGTGAAAATAATTGATTGCTATTATTCAATTATATTGATAATAAGTTGAGTTAAAATTTGAGTTAGATTTTGTGTTTATAAAAAAGAAATATCAGAGCCTAAAATTCCCTAATTTTCTAGCAAAACTCATCGTTTTTTCTCCTCCCAAAAAAAAAATTAACAGACTTACGAAAGATCATGCATCCAAAAATGGCTTGACGCCGGCCACAAGACGTGCCCCAAGACCCAACAAACCCTCTCCCACACCTCCCTCACCCCTAACTACGTCCTCAAATCCCTCATCTCCCTTTGGTGCGAGACCAACGGCGTCGAACTCCCCCTCCCCCACCCCCCATCCGCCCCCCTCCGCCGCCGCCCTTCTGACTGCGACCGCCTCTCCGTCGACTCCCTCCTCCGCCGCCTCTCCGACCATTCCGACCCCGACCGCCAGCGCGCCGCCGCCGGCGAGCTCCGCCTCCTCTCCAAACGCAACGCCGGCAACCGCGTCTGCCTCGCCTCCGCCGGCGTCATCCCCCTCCTCGCCGACCTCCTCTCGTCCCCCGACCCCCGCGCCCAGGAGCACGCCGTCACCGCCCTTCTCAACCTCTCCATCAACGACGCCAACAAGGGCGCCATCGTAAATTCCGGCGCCATCCCGGACATCGTTGCCGTCCTCCGGTCGGGTAGCCCCGAGGCCCGAGAGAACGCCGCCGCCGCCCTCTTCAGCCTCTCGGCGGTGGACGAGAACAAGGTGGCCATCGGGGCCGCCGGAGCCGTGGGCCCGCTCGTCGATCTCCTCCGGACGGGCACTCCGAGAGGGAGAAAAGACGCGGCCACAGCTATATTCAACCTTTGCATATACGGCGGGAACAAGGCGCGAGCCGTCAGGGCGGGGGTCGTGGGCCCGTTGATGGGCTTTTTGAGGGACCCAGGCGGCGGGATGGCGGACGAGGCGCTAGCGATACTTGCGATATTAGCGGGCCATCCGGAGGGACGGGCTGGGATTGCGGGGGAAAGGCCCGGCCCGGAGCTTGTGGAGGTGGTGAGAACGGGGTCGCCTAGGAATAGGGAGAATGCGGCGGCTGTTTTGTGGGCGTTGTGTGCGGGAGGAGACGGGCAGTGGCTAAAGGGGGAGGAAGGGGCGGAGGAGGCGTTGAGGGAGCTGGCGGAGAATGGGACGGATAGGGCGAAGAGGAAGGCTGTGGCCCTGCTCGAGCTGCTGAATAGGGCGGAGGACACGGTTGGTTTGTAACTTAGTGTGATTGGTATTTTTTATTTTATTTCGTTTTTTTCATTTTTTGAGAGAGATTAAAATGGTGGTTATTGTTGTGCATTTGTTTCTTGATTTTGGGGTTTTTGGAAGTTGAGACCTTTGCCCCGGCTGTCTGTCTGTCGAGAATAGAGAGACAGACTAGTTTTGTTTGATTGTTGGAACTTTGGCAGCCTTGTATGGGTTTTATTTTATGTTGTACTGTGTAGAAGAATTGTTGGTAGGTTTGATTGTAATACTATTGTACTTGTGTTTATGTGTTAATTGTTGGTACGATGAATTAATAACGCACGTTTTTGGTTTTCGAATCCGTGATCATTTTATTTTTGGGAGTTTTAGTAGTCCCAATATCACGATATAATTATTTTGAACTTGATTGGATTTAATTATATCGAACTTGATTGGATTTACTGGATAAAGTGATTTAATTATAACAATTCGGGTTCATTTACTAAAAAAGATGTGATTGGATTATCTAATCAAGGTTTTTTTTAAAGTTGGATTTTAATGTAGGGTAATTAATTTTTTTTCCAACATGTGCTCTATTCGTACTTTTGAAATTTTCAACATAAAGTATTTTTTTGTTATAATTACAACCCGAACTACATATATATACAATTATTTGCACGACTATTTTTTGACCGTCCAAATCATCTGCAAAAAAAGACACGTGTATGGTCACATGTGTATGGTCAAGATGTACTTGAGCGTGCACCAAATTAACACTGGTTATGTCTGTCTAACAAGCAAAACACTAAAGCTTTCAACTGTTAGACCCTTAAATTAACAAAATGTTGCCTGATAAAAAGGCTCCCATCACCAAACGAACCTCATACCATATTTTCCCGGACCACTTTTGCTCCACAACCAGGGCATAAACGGAGAATGAAAATAGCCGAGGCTTCGAAATTCAATGGCCAATACATTCTTCATCAGAATCCGAGAAGTGAAAAACTAAACCTGCTCGGAAACCCATTTGAGCATGTTTTCAACTCGTCGAGAACTAGGTAAGTCAAATAATAGGTCCCCTTTCATCCAGTTCAACCTCCCGAGAACATATAGCATCAGTGTGTTTCAAAGTAAACACTCGGTCACCAGCAAACTCAAGCAAAACAAAATGTGGCGCCCGACAACCGATATCAAAACACAAACACATCACATTGATAAAATCACTAGAACGAGTCGAAAGCAAACATCCCGGCCCAAATGCATCAGCCAGCTTCAGTGCATAACACTAAAAAAACCCAACGGCAAGACAAATAAAGCAAACTCAAATCCAAATCCATACGGCGGTACCAAGGTTGCTAAACATCTCATCAAATACCCGGAGAAAATTACACAGAGACCCTCTCAGTAACGGTCCAAAGAAAGGGGCCGGGCTCCCCTCCTAGGAGGACGGTCATATGGGCCGGGCCTCTCCCTATAGCTTCTTCCTCCTTCGTATCGTGTGGGCCCACCACCACCAGATCCATATCGATCACCAACACCTCTAGGAGCCACATCTCTATCATAAGCCCTGTCTTTGCCATATCCATTCTGAGGGTAACGGTCAATGGTTCCATACCTATCCACAGGTAATCGGTCTGCCGGTGGAGCATACCTGATTAGATAATAAGCTAATGTGTTAGCAAACAAACTAATTACTTGATGGCGTGATTAGGTATGGATTTGATTAGTTTTTTTTGTTAACCATAGTTAATTTAAAAAAAAAATGATATGGTTAGTTGTTTGTGGGATTTAGAATTTATATTAAAATAATTAAACTTGATTTGATGTAAAAGTAGGAGAAAGATGATTTGAAATGAGGGTAGTTAAAAATGTGAATGGATGAATAGTGAAATAATATTGATGTGATGTGTAAGGATGGGTGATTAGTAATATTTAATTATATAGATAATATTGAAGATAATGAGGTTGAGTAAAATTTGAGTTTTGATTGGGTTTTTTTATTGAAATTATTTTCAATCACAGCCTAATTGTGGCAACCTAAAAAGTTAAACTGAAATCATGCCCAGTACCAACTAATCCCCAGTAAAAGGAACTACATATACCTAGTTTTTCTAATGTAATTCATTTTAGTTTGTGATGTATTGCAAAATGTAAAATAAAAGAATTACCTGTCATTGATAAATCGATCACGGCTCGCATATCTATCATCCCGGCTGTCATAACGGTCCCTATCACCACGACTTCTATCATATCTATCATCCACATATCTATCACGATAATCTGGATAACGGTCCCCACGGCCTCCATAACTAGAGCGTGGAGGGGAGATCGGACGAGCACCTCGTCCACCGCCAGCCGACGGGCAGTCACGGGCCCAATGCCCCGGACGGCCGCATTTGAAGCAATCATCGGGACCAGCAGACCTGTCTCCTCCACCATAACCACCAGACCTTCCACCTGACGAGTAACCTCCGTAGCCATGAACTGGCGGGGGGTCATCACCACCCATCTTCGGCTGGGCCTTATTAACTGTTATGACTCTGTCTCCCAACTCTCTGCCGTGCATTTCTCTTATTGCATCGTCCATCGAACGTCGGTCGGCAAATGTAATGAAGCCAAAACCGCGAGGACGGCCAGTACCTCTTTCCATCATAACCTATACGAAGATTATTAGATTTAAAAAACAGACGAGGGAAAATGAATAACCAGCTGGGCAGAGACATCTACACAATTCACCATGGCCAAAATAAAGTGTCGAAAAAGAAAACGGGATCAATTCAGATCGTATCTGGAAATCAAGTCCAAATTTGCAATATAAATCATGTCAAGTGAACTCTGCGAAATTCCTTATATTAATGGTCCTGAATTAAATGAAAAACGTGGATTGACATCACAACGAGTTCTTGTAATCCACCGGCTTCATAAGGTTTACTGAGCTTACACACCATTGAAGATTCAAGAACATAACACCTTAAATTAGATACATTCCTGTAATCTGAAACTATTGATTTGAAATGATCCCCTTTCAGAAAAACTGATCACATTTGAAATTTATGGACCAATGATAGACAAAATTCAGAGAACACGAATAAGCTGAAAGCATCTTGATAAAAAAAGCATGTGAAAGAATAGACATTAGGGAGTTACTCCAGTAATCTTTTATCTGGCTCTTGTTCTAAAAAAGCCCATTATTTAAGTTGAGTCAAATCACATAGAATTTATGTTAATTAACGTGTTTATAGTGCAAGGAACACTTACATGAGTAGAAGAATCCACAAAACTGCAGATTCCATTATCTGACATGAGTTTCTACTCAAGCCTTGAATTTTCCAGAACAATGACAATACAGAAAATTCATTCAACCAAAAAGGATTGTATCGTAACCAGAACAAATCTTATCGGATGACACTTGATGTCAATTATATTTCCCTTTACTTGGCAAACTTCTTTCGGAGCTGCAAGCTACTGCACGATATAACATGAAAAGGATCCACAAGTCACTAACGACTTCACCTTCCAGCTTCAGAAACTCAAAAATTCATTTACATGTCTGGCGCCCTTTTTTTACAGAAAATTTCACCTTTAAGGCCTTGCTACATCCAAAACCAGTATTGATCCATGGGCAGTGACTACTAATATATCCACGTGAATTCATACTGTTTTCCAAGATTTTCTGATGTCTTTTAGCAAGCCCACTATTTCGTGTGTCGCTTAAAAACAGCACTATCAGTAACCAAACAGAGAACATATTCAAACAATTTACATCAACTATATACCTTAGATAAGTGCACACATCTATATTATCTGAGACACTCTGAGCTAGAAGACAAGCTAAGTTAACATTAGTGTGTATTCAAGTTCATAATTGCCTAAAAACAAATACCCAAAATTGTGATGCTAACTTCCAGGAGAAACTACAAGACCTACATATCAATCACATCTTCCTGAAGTTGCAGGGATATACCCAAGCCCTGGTAAATGATCATAATTGTAGAATAGGGACCATCGATCTACCTAAAAACATAAACTCATGGCGGGCTGATCAACCAATCACCAACCAGACATTTTTCACACAGAGCGACATCCTTTGCATCATACAACAACTATGTGCAAACAGCACAACGACATGCTTAACCCAATTAGCAAAGCGATTGAAAGTTATTTTGCAAAACAAAGTGAAGATATCACCGTTCAGGTGCTTCGCAAGTAAGGCTTATTAGACCCATATACAAAAGACACCACCCTCCATCTAGGCTGAATCTGAGGATGTGCATTTTAATATGATCGCGCACTCTTCTGCCAACTTCCGTGTTAACCATCTCATAAGGTTATTTCCTAAGAACATACCTCAATGAATGTGTAACTGACAGGGATTCAAATTCTCAATTCAATAAGTCATTCGACTTAATCTAAACAGGCTATTGAAGGTGGATTGAGTTTCAAGCCTCCAGGAACTATGGTAATCCGAACTTTGACTCCCCAATGCAGGCAAAAGAAAACAGCAACTGACATTTTTTACAGCAGTCATCCATTCTTCTAGTTCTTCCACAGACCATCTGCCTTTTCACAGCTAAGTATAAGTGCAACTGCCAATACTAATTTTGTCGAACCCAAAGACTTCTAGCAGTTGCTTGATGAAGGTACCAGAAACTCGGACATCTAAACAGTGAAACTGAAGATGCATACGAGAGAGAAAAAAGCAAGGCCTTTCGACTCAGGAGAAACACTTCCCTCAAATGGCGGAAGACTGGTGAAAATTGCAGTCAGAGAGAGGTTTAACTTACATCCAGAATCAGGAAAGGCTATCAAGTGAGACCCAAAATTCAATGGAATTGTAGAAGAAAGGAAAAGGTTCAGAAACCAGGCAACCATAACAGGGCAAACCCCTACTCAAATCCGAAAATTGCAGATCTATGGCACAAAGGGTACAGAGCTCAGCTACCACTTCTTACGCAAAACCAACTTTTACTGCAGTTCCGACTTCACCAGCCTAAATCTTTTTCTTTCTCTGTCAAAAATGCAGCACCAAGAAAACCAGCACCCACCATCAACATACCAATTCTAGAGAATCCCCAGTAAAACTGTAAAAGGTGTCGTTGATAACTGACTCTAGAAAATATTAGCTGAAAAAAACTCAGAAAAACAAGAGCATCAGCCCATCAGCAGCCCTAGAGACCCAATAGACACACCAAAGCTTTCAGACGTCACAAGCAACATCAATGGAAAGGAGTTTCAAGAAAAATAAATAGTTTCAACAAATAAGCAGCATAAAAGGCAACACCCAATTGATTAAAAACAAAGTTGGGTCACATTCAGAACCATATTAACTTGTGAAACATAGACACTACAAAGCCCTTTCATAAAATTTTTGACACGCAAATATATATTT